GCCTGGCAAGCGCAAGGTCGTGAGTTCGGTTCCCGGTACCCGAAAAAAAAAAAAAAAAAAAAAAAAAAAAAAAAATTTGACAAAATTTAAGACCTAAGAAATGGAATGAATATTGAACCAGTAGTTTGGTCACATTGTAGGATGAATTGTGTCCCCAAAAGAGATATGCTGAAGTTTTAATCCTCAATACCTGTGAATGCAGCCTTACTTAAAGTCTCTCCAAGTATAATAAAGGTAAGAAGAAGCCGTAGTGAATGAGAGCGAGCCTTATCCAATGGTGGCACCCTTAGAAGAGGGAAATTTGGAAATTAACACAGGGGGAACATGGCCTTGAGAAGGCAGAAGCAGAGATTATAGTTATGTTTCCCACAAGCCAAGGAACAATAAGGAATTTGGCAACTATCACAAACAAAAAAGGCCAACCAAATGGTGCCCTTCTCTGGCGTCACTGGTGTGAAAACGGTCTTGCAACACCTTGATTTCAGACTCGCAGCCACTAGAAATGTGAGATAAGTTTCTGTTGTTTTAAGCCACCAGTTTGTGGTAGTTTGAAATGGCAGAGGGAGAAACAAATGCAACCCACATTTCAACTTTTCAGACATCAGTCTTCAGCTTTTATCTGGCATTTGTTTCTTGACAGAGGATAATTTGCCTCCTGGGGGTAGAAGAAGCCAGGAAGGAATGGAAATAGAAGGAAGCAACTCACCACAGGCCCCCGACCAGTGCTGCTCAGGTAGTGGAGGAGTCCTTTGGCGTGGTAAATCGTTGGCTGGAGGTGGGCTTTGGGAGAGAGCCACTGTCTGTTCAAATCTTCCCCTCTCAGGGAGCATCTGTGACTGCGGGCACAGACGATACACAAGTAAATACACACTGAGAAGAAAATAGCTTGAGAAAATAAAACTTGACAAGACAAACAATTACACTAATGAATCTAACTTCCCTCTGACTTCTGCCCAGTTGGCACCAGTTCCAGATGTCCAGAAAGCTGCAGATCTGTCCTTTCAACTCCCAAAGTGACATGACTATTCACAGTTCCAAAAAGAACTAGAAACCATACTTGATGTGATATTGGGTGGTCCGAGCTTTAAGACAAACTTTAGGAAATCTAGTTCTTTACTATCCACATCCATGAAGGCCAAACTCCATACATGATTCTCTGGACCCTTCCGTTCTACCACTGATTAAGGTGGGCTCAGTCCATCAGACTGAGTATGCTATTTCTGATTATTTCCATCTGCCCCAATAACTCTGCATGGTGGATATTACTGCACCTCAATGAAGAGACTGAAACTTAGAAATGATTAAATAATTACCCAAGATCACATAACTAAAGTCTTCACCCACCTTTGTTTGTGTCTAACGCTTATGCTCTTTCTTACTGTATTGCCTCCCTAGCCATACAGATGACACTGACACCTTGACAATTTACTCAAAGTGTCAGAGTATCTTTATCAAAGATGCCATCATGGTATAGTACAACTAGAATGAGCCAAAAATCATACATTCCCTCATTTGGAGGATACTGATTTTTTTATTCCAAAGTACCAAGTTACTTTGCAAAGGTGACTCAACTGCTTAAGGATAACACCGAGATGCTAGTTTCCAGGTAGAGTTACAGTATAAACCCTTAACTAAGACCAGAAATTATCAAATTCACACCCCACAAAGGTTCCTGACTGTCCTACTGAGATGATATTTATTCAGTAGGGTTAACCAGCAAGGTGCCAAACATTTAGACGAGACAATTAACCCAAATTTTCCATCACCCGGCACCTACAACACTCCTCCTCCCACCACCTATGGCCTTCTAGACTCCAGCACAATGGATCATTCAGTTTCCTCTGTGCAGTGTTGTGTGCTGCCCCTTTGCCAAGACTCCAGCATCTCCCTCCATTTTCACTTACTCAACTTCCGGAGCATCACCCCTGCCCACATACCCTCTTGAATCCTCAAGATGCTACACTGCATATGTCTACTTGTTGCGGTAGCATTCTGAACTTCTCTTAACATGACTTTTATTAAACCATATTGGATTTTTAAAAATTTTTACTTCTTCTACCTTACAGATTAAACAGGGAGGATTGGGAGATTTCTGGGGACCAGGACAGCTCACTGGTTAACATCAAAACTCTAATATAGGAACCGTATCAAATTTGGTATTAAGTTAATAATTTGGAATAAATAAGTGCACTAGCATTTAAATGTAAAATAGATAATGTTTCCTGTTTACAAATCACCGTACTTTCAATAAATCTTGGAGAGAGAAGAGAGAAGGTTTAGCCTCCTCCTTTCATCACTTTTTCATTGCGGTGTTCTGAAATTATCTTTATTAGATTCCTGGTGCCTGCTAGCCCCCTCATAGAGCTCCTGAGAAAGAGAAAATCTTTAGATTAATCATTTATCTTGATTTTACCATTAAAATATTTTGACTAGAGAAATGGCAGGTTTCGTGCATTTTCCTCTGTGGCTTTTTTTTTTTTTTTTTTGTACCTTTTTTCTCCTTTCCTATGCTTAATAGAAATGATATCTACATAGGCTTTTTTCTACTTTGCCTGGTGACCAAGGATGAAGGTAAAATATGAAGCAGATCTTTAATGTCAACAGAAATAGAAAGAGGCAGCCATCCCAGACTAGCTCCGAAGCATCTTCACTGTGCTTCTGTTGATTAATTAATTTCTTTTCTCAGATCACAGTATGTTTTAGGTACAACATCTTAAAGCTTCGGGATTCTCTTTAACTACTCTATGATTCTCTTTGCCTTGACCTGGAATCTCATCAACACTGGAGGTTTTTTTTTTTAATATTGACTGTTGCAAAATCATTTCAGGTCCTTCAAAAGCATTTATATTTGTGTAAATGGAAATGGAAGCTTTCTATGTGTCCAGTAGCCAGCAATTCTGTATCAGTGCTCCTACCTCTTATTTCCTTGTGCTCCATGGAGACCAAGTTAAAGGACAATACTTCCATGGAGAAGACCTACAGGTTACCCCACAGGAGAAAAACAACTCCATATTACAATTCCTCAAAACAAACAAACAAAAACATATCTGGTGCAGCCCAAAGCCTGTGTTTTGCTTAAGAAGACCTTTATTTCCAACCTTCAGCTTTATCATGAGGGGGGATTGGGGGACTTCTTTGACAATTAATATTCTCATATGGATGGATGTAAGTATGCTTAACCTATCTTCCAGGATGATTTTGAGACTCTAGTGAAATGATATCTGCTTTACTTATATTTTATAGCTCTATATCTGCCTCTGTTTATGTTCATGATCGTATCTACACATATCGATATCCTCATCTGCATCTATGTCTATTTCTTCACCTATATTTATAATGGTCCAGAGTACCCAGCACAATTGCAACCCTGTTCAACATTTCCTTACTTCATCATAATCTTCTTTCTTATGAAGAACAATCAAGTAGCTATGTGCTGGTTAAATGAAATAGAGAAGATGCCTGTAGGGAACTCAGAGAAGAGGCTATGGTCTGTAATAAGTACCAGCTGACTTTATTTTTTTTTTATTTTAAAAATAAAAGGAAGAAAACATTAACAGACAGACAACCTTTTACAAAATAGCAAAATAACAGCACAGACAATACAGAGTTACAAACAAAGTGGAAGGAAATTAACAATTCTTGTTGTATTACATATTGATATCTTTAAAATGATTTCTCATGAAAACAAATAGAGACATGCAATATTGATCAATCAAGGGCTCATTAACAGTTTCTTTTAGCAAAGAAATAGAAGGCAGTAGATCAACTATGTTAACTATCCTGTATATACACACATACAAAATTTCTCCTTCTTTCCCTTTTCTTTTCCCCCTTCCCAGGTGCCCTTTACCCTTGAGCATTTTCCTATCATTTCACAATGTCTATCACACCTCCGAGTTTATAGTAACTCTTTCAGATTTTACACTAGTGAGACTATGCAAAGTACCAGGTGACTTTAGCATGCTCAAGTTTTCAGACAATAGGCCTGAGCAGAGAAATATTCACCTAAGAAAATATTTCAAGTGAATAATCAATAGAAACTGCTAACTGGAATTTGTGCCATTAAACTGCCAAAGAGAGGACAGCATTTAAAAATACCCAAGTACATATTTTTGGAGAGAAATTGGGCCAGTGAAAGATATACAGAAATTAGGGAAGCTATTAGTTTGGGGAAAGTTTTATTTGGCTGGTTCTTTCACAGAGAAGGAGGCAATGAATCAGTCCTTTGGTATGCATAGCTTGCATGGATTTTTGAAGTCCCATAGGCTTATATTTGTATTAAATGGTCTATGTGTGGCTGTGATTTTGAGATGTGTTCCTCTATCAGTGCAATTGCAGATGATTACAATGCGTACTACCCCAACTTGACAATTTTTTTTTAAAGAAAATCCATTTGCTCCCAATCTTCAAATGCACTTGGTAATCTGTGTTAATAATATCAGAGATTCATGTAGTCTGAAGAGCTGCTGCTGCTCTTTCCAGGGATTTGTTTTACAGATTTGAAGATGAAATGTACCCCATCTTATTATCTACTGTAGCATTTCTGCAATGACAGCTGCTCCTTCAATGTAGAGAGAATTAGCAGATGGACAGCGATAAGTGGCTGGCAATAAATTCAGCACCTATAATTTCTGGAAAAGGGTCATTCTTCATATAGAGTTTGAAGTCTTGCTTTGCTTATAAGAAGAATAAAGGAGTGATCCTCATCATTTTTTCCTGAGTGAAAATTGCAAACTTACAAGGAAAAAAGAATGCACTTCTTTTTTTTCCATAGGCAAAGTCATTTGATCAGCTAATCTTCCTCACTTTTTAAAGCTTTACTTAAAACACAGTCTTATTGAAGATAAAGCTTATGTGCACAAAGTGTGCTAGACGTAGGGTGCCCAGCCAACCATATTGTCCAGGGATGTTGCAGTTTTAGGCTTGAAACTTCTGCATCTTAGGATAACTCTCAGCAACTACAAACCAATATCTGATGCCCTTGTCTAGATCCCTAATTCTGAGAGTTTTCACAGAGCCAGGGTCCCTGACCAAAAGTGAGCCTAATTGTTTTGCATCGGGTTTGAATGTTTTTAGGTAAGACTTTCACAATCTGCTCAGGCTAAGGCCCCTTTACTGCCTATTTCTATTTTGATCATTTCACTTACACATTGTTTGTTAGGCATTTGCAAACTATGACTAAGCAACATGTAACCTTTAAAACTGAAGTTTTAGCTAGACATATTTTCCCTGAAATGATGATGTCCCTCAGCTCTCCAAAAATGGCTGTTTTATGACCACACAAGAGCACTTCAAATGAAATTATGAAAAAATGACCCAGTGTTGCCTGTCCTAAGAGATCACCAAATAAGTTTGGATGCCTGATATTTTGAGTAAAAGCCAAACAGTCATAATGTCACTGAAAATTATTCTTTTAACATTAATTATAGATCTTATTTATCTGCTAAGAACAGAGATCACCCAGACAAAGTGAGCCAAGCACTCTAACCAAGAACATCAGCAAGCTGACCCTGAACTACTAGGGCCCTTGAAGCAAACAATGCACCACCAGGAAGACAGAATGGAAAATTAAGTAACTTCCTATAAGAGAATTTATAAAACTGCAGTCAGAAAAAAAAAAAAGGATCATTCAAAAATTTCCCATCTATCCATGACTGCAAAATGGAGAAATGGTGAAAACAAACCAAATGAATGAGGTCAGGCTTGATAATATTAAAGCCCCTAGCACAGCAAGCTCTGGCTCCTGAAGAGAGGTGATGAGTTTGAGATTTAGCAAGCAGCTTCACCATTCACTGCACATCCACAGAACCGGAAGCAGCCTGGGTGCAGGAGGAGA